AGGAAAAATGTGAAATTAAAGAAGTTCAGGAAGAGTTAGCCCAAAAGGACGTCTCTTTTGATTCAACTGAGAAGGAATCACTTCTTAAGGAAATTCAGAATCTAAGGAGCAAGCTGCAATCATGTAGCGATGCACCAGTAAAAAAATCTACTGACAAACTAAGGTCTTCATTGATGTCAAGATCCATACAACTGCAAAAGAGCGGGGTATTTTCTTATGATAATGGCAACGAAGAGCTAGAGAATGAAAGACAGAGATGGACAGAAATGGAAAGTGAGTGGATTTGTCTTACTGATGAACTTAGAGCTGATCTTGAGTCATATCGCCAACGTACTGAGAGGTTGGAGATGGAACTGGCGTCAGAGAAGAAGTGCACAGCAGAGATAGATGATGCCCTAAAGAGAGCAGTTATGGGACATGCTAGAATGGTGGAACACTATGCCGATCTACAAGAAAAATACGATGATTTGGTTATGAAACACGACGCCATAATGGAAGGGATAGCAGAAGTGAAGAAGGCAGCAGCGAAAGCCTCGAAAAAAGGTCACGCCCGCTTTGCCAAGTCTCTTTCCGCTGAGCTTTCAGCATTGAGGGTGGAAAGAGAAAGGGAATCAAAATTATTGAAAAAGGAGAACCAGAACTTGAAGACTCAGCTTCGAGATACTGCTGAAGCCGTTCAGGCTGCTGGAGAGCTACTTGTTAGGCTAAGAGAAGCTGAACATGCAGCAGCTTTTGCAGAGGTACAATTCTATCTCATTAAGGGTTCCAGAATCAACACACCATATTTTAAGTGTTTTGTTTTTTGCTCACTAATTACTTAATAAACAGGAAAAAAGAAAGGTACAGGATTAACAAGGAAAGTGAAAAGGAATTGCATTTCTGTCAATCTATACTAGTTGAATGTTCTCAAGATGGATTAAATAATTATACTAGTTGTTGTGAAGATTCAGCATATGTTCTGTCTTAACATTTTTAATTCATTTCTTGAATACTATATATTTCTTATGTTATACAGGAGAACTTTGCAAATGTGCAACAAGACAACGAAAATTTGAAGATGCAAATTGAAAAGCTGAAAAGAAAACACAAGACAGAGATTAATACCATGAAGCAGTACATTACAGAGAGCAAATTACCTGAGTCTGCACTGCAACCACTGTATAAAGAGGATTCTGATGTGGCACACAATGCAGCCTCCTCCTATACATACGATGATCAGGCTTGGAGAGCAGAATTTGGAGCAATATATCAGGATCATTACTAACTTACCGGTTGTTAGTATTATTAGCATTAGATAAAAGGGAATCAGATCAAAGTTCAAGTATTTTGTCTGGCATAGATCCTACTTGGATCAAATGCCACTATTCTTTTTGTGTATTCCTAGAAATTCTTTGTTTTTGTTCCAATTTGTGATCATCCAAAACTACAATTCAATTGTATCTTCTCGTGTATTCATCTCGTTGATGTTCCTTACCCTAGATTTTTCATTGTAAACAAATCGCCTAATAGTTTTCTCATTTCAGTTCTCTTTTATTCCCAGACATTCTAAGTCTCCAAGTTGCCAAAGATTTTCACAAAACGAATGTAACTTACCTGATTTATTCATTCTATTTGTTGTAACACTACCATGAACATTGTTGGCTGTTTCATGAGAGTCAATGTCAGCAAAGTTTCCTAATCTTCTGAAAGTGAACCAAAAACTTTTTCATAGATGACAAGCCAGAGGAATAATTTGTATCTTATACATGATAACGATATATAACTTTTTTCAGTGCAAAATCTTCAACAGTGTCAAATGAATCAAAGTCTCTGTTGACTTGGGTTAGTTTCTTCTTGTATGATAATGTAAAACTACTTAAAATTGTTTTACACCAAGAAAGCATAGCCACTTTCTTTCTAAATTTCTTCCACACGATTAGATGGTATGACTTGAAGAGCAAATGCAGAACTCCATGGCACCATTAATCACAACTTCAGGCTCTTGAATCTCAAGTTCACAATTTCATGGCTCTTGAACTGTATTTAAAGCATGTCAAAATTTAACTGTAATATGTTTTTTGTGGTTTGTTGTGATGACCTTTTGTAGATGAAATCAAATTAAACTACAATTTATATATATAAACTACAATTTATATTCTAAGATTGATACATATTCTAAGATGTTTCCTTTCCTTAATTCTTATGTTTATCCCCATTTATCCTCAAGAAAGACAATGAAACCTAACCTACCCATTTCAATCTATTGCTTCTTGCACCCCATAATTACTAATTGTGCCCCTATAATAATAGGAAAAAGACTCAAAACCCTTCACCACACCACCACTGCCGTTGCTGTAGAGGAAGAAGAAGACGGGAAGAACAGTCTAGGGAAGAAGAAGATAAAAAAAAATGTGAAAAAAAACTTTCCAGAAAGGTTTTTTGTAGCCTATTTCATGTGTTCTAGAAAGCTTTTTCCCAAACGCATATCATGTAGAGAGGCTATGGACAACTCACTCCAATAGGGATTATATGCATTTCAAAAAATTTGCTATGAAAATTTCATTCAGAAAAACTTGTTTCTTCGTGTGTTCTAAAAATTTTATTCTGAAAATTTTTATCCAAAAAATTTATTTTAGAAATTTTGTTCTGGAAATTATGAAAAGTTTGTTCCAAAAAGCTTCTAAAACATGTAATCTAAAAGTCACTTGATTATTTTAAAAGTTGAGGGAGTGCGTGAAGAAAGTTGTTGGAATGCAGGTAAAAGTCCCCTTTCCCTCATTATAAATCTTAAAAAAAAAAAACTTCCAATAACAAACTACCCACGATTTCAGTTTAATACCAAGGACAAAGCCACAAAAAATTTCACTCGTTTTCTTTTTTATTTTTTTTTATTTTAAAACATTGAAATCAATTATTAGAAACACGATTCAGTTTATCTTCTTTAAAATATTTAAAAGGTAAAATGATGTTAGAAGCACCGGTTCTTTAAAATGAAATAGTATTTATAGAATGTCTAACAAAAATTTCTTTATGATTTTTCAAAACTTCTTTTATTGGACTGCTTTAAGACTCTTATTTTCTTAATAATTTAACATTTTTTTCTTATGTAAAAAACTATTTCTAGAGAATAAAAAGTTGTTTTTGTAAGAATAGCAAATGAAAAGTACTGGATTCATAAAATTACAATTTTTTTAAATTTTTAGAGTTTCTTTATAATAAAATTAAAATTGACTCTTAGTTGTTTATACTATATCTTTTTGTAAGGAGAAATATAAAAGAAAGTGTAAGAAAAGGAAGATGAAATCCCCATATGTATGTATCGGAGAAAATATTAAAAACATTTAATACCTATTTTGGTGTTAGATTTGTTTAGAGTGATTTTACTTTTTTTTTTCTTAAAAGTTACGTACGTTTTTGTAAAAACGGTTTACGTTAATTTTAAACTAAGTTTTATTGTTTACGACCTATGAGGCAGTGGACTGATGAAATTTGATATTCACATATGTAAGATAATAATGAGCCAACTCAGACTACTTATTCTTGTGATAATATAGCTCCAATTACAAGAAAATATGAGCCACCTTAATCAAAAGGATCAAATAACTGAAAAAATAAACAACTATAAAATGCTTTAGTTATATACTTATATCTTCCCATAAAACAATAATCAAACAAAACAAAAACATCCCGCGCCTGAATATATGTACACACTGCATTGAATAGGTATAAAAGGAGAGATCTTTATGTTCATCATTCAATAGGTTATAATCACAGCATATATTCAATCTTAAATGAGTACATTAAATACTTTCTGGGAACTTCTCCCTTAATGATTGGCTTGCCAAAAACAAAAAATCTAGTGTATTTTTACCCATTAATACAGATTAACAGTGAAAAATCACTCAAATTTATTGTTATTGGGAACTCCTCTGATACCATAACACTAAAACAGTTGTATTCCAAAACACTTGAAATCAACCAAAATAAACATTAATTTTTACCCTTAAATTTCTCTGACAAAGAAATCATGTTAACCCGCACGTATATTCTTTTCTTCAAAACTAATCACATAATTAATTTGTCTATAATTACTATAATTTGCTCTCCGTTTCTTGTATTCTGAAAAGAATTGTCAATAATAGAGTTGGATTACAATGGACTGTGTAAATTTCTTGGAAGTGATTTCCAATTTACTAAATTTCTCATAACCAAAAATCAATAATTCAAAATGAAAGTAAACTTCAATATTTTCCAAAACTACTTACATTAGTAAAAAAAATGTTTCTTAACTCGTATATGTAAGGACCTAAAAATTTGAACTCAGGGTTATTGGGCCTTAATTGTGGCAGCCAGACCTTTAGCAATTTGGGCTCATGACCTTGGTAAGTGGGCTCTCCTAAAAAGAAAAGGCTGAAGTTCATTTGCCAATTCTCCTTTCTCTCTCTAAAACCCCTTTTCCCAAATTCTTTTCTGCCTTCTCTCTAGCCTCCACACTGATTTAGCCATTGCATGTTCTGTTAGGTGGTACCCTAGCGATCGCCTCGTAGAGAGCTTCAAAACCATCCGATTGATTTTACGTTCTTCAACCGGTAAGTGGCTTCCTCTTTTCTCCGCTATTTTCGAAATTTAGGGCTTATGGTTCTACTGCTTTTGTGCAATTAGAACTGTCCTCTTTTCAATTCCTGTCAAGTTTGAGCTCTAAGGGTTGTTCTCATCACCAATGTGATGGTTGTAGGGCACTGCTTAAGTTCTTCCCGGGGTAGGATACTGTTGAAAGTTGTGGTGTGCTAGACGGCTCAACTTTAAGGTAAGGGGAGCTAGTTCTATTCTTGATTTTACTGTGTGGAGTGAATGTATGATAAAATTTTGTAGTGGTATGTTGTGGAAGCATGAACTTGGTTCTAGTAAACTTGAAATGCATGTATGGAAGTGTGTGTTATGTGAATTTGGTGATTGATGGCTATAAACTGTTTTGGAATGACTTAGAATGAGGGAATTGTGTATGTTGAAACTGTTTTGGCATGAAAATTCGGTGGTAGTGCTGTTAGAAAGGAAATCNCAAGCCTTCAGAAGGGGCTACAGATTATTGACTATCATCAGCATAATTCAGCATTGAACAAATCTTCATCGTCCTTCTCCTTTGAGCACTTAACTTTGACACCTTGCCTAGACATTGACAAGGCTGAATCTTGTGACCAAACAATACCACAGAAAGCTTCCAGTGATGAAGTAGCTTCTTTCCTTTGTGCATCTTGCCGGACCAAAATATCTAGTCAGGATTCCAGTTTGGTCCAAGTATGTTTTTTGTCTTAATTTTATCAAGTATCTTTCTAAATACTTATTTCTATGTCTTCACCTCATTTATCCATTTTTTTGACAATTTAGCTGGCATTTGGAGAATGTAATGGTAAAAACATCATGAAAGAGAAGGAGCTCGAGAATGTTTGTAAGGAGCAAGCAGCTAGAATTGAGCAACTAAATCAGCTGGTATTAATACTCCTATTTTCCTTTGTGAACTGTGGTTTTGATTTTACATTTAATGGCGATGTCTCTTACCAGGTGGAGAAATTGAAAGGAGAGAGAGAAGAACTAAACTCCATTACTATGTGTAACTCGATGAAAGATGAAGAAAAGGTCAGTTGAATGTAGTATCTAATTTATAATTTATAGTTCATAATTATAAAGTCTATCCCGTTGATAGTTATTAGTTTTCATTTGTTTTGGTTGATATCATTTGCAGCATCTAAGGGAATTTTCCTCAAATGGTCATTTGCCATGCATTATAGAGGAAAAATGTGAAATTAAAGAAGTTCAGGAAGAGTTAGCCCAAAAGGACGTCTCTTTTGATTCAACTGAGAAGGAATCACTTCTTAAGGAAATTCAGAATCTAAGGAGCAAGCTGCAATCATGTAGCGATGCACCAGTAAAAAAATCTACTGACAAACTAAGGTCTTCATTGATGTCAAGATCCATACAACTGCAAAAGAGCGGGGTATTTTCTTATGATAATGGCAACGAAGAGCTAGAGAATGAAAGACAGAGATGGACAGAAATGGAAAGTGAGTGGATTTGTCTTACTGATGAACTTAGAGCTGATCTTGAGTCATATCGCCAACGTACTGAGAGGTTGGAGATGGAACTGGCGTCAGAGAAGAAGTGCACAGCAGAGATAGATGATGCCCTAAAGAGAGCAGTTATGGGACATGCTAGAATGGTGGAACACTATGCCGATCTACAAGAAAAATACGATGATTTGGTTATGAAACACGACGCCATAATGGAAGGGATAGCAGAAGTGAAGAAGGCAGCAGCGAAAGCCTCGAAAAAAGGTCACGCCCGCTTTGCCAAGTCTCTTTCCGCTGAGCTTTCAGCATTGAGGGTGGAAAGAGAAAGGGAATCAAAATTATTGAAAAAGGAGAACCAGAACTTGAAGACTCAGCTTCGAGATACTGCTGAAGCCGTTCAGGCTGCTGGAGAGCTACTTGTTAGGCTAAGAGAAGCTGAACATGCAGCAGCTTTTGCAGAGGTACAATTCTATCTCATTAAGGGTTCCAGAATCAACACACCATATTTTAAGTGTTTTGTTTTTTGCTCACTAATTACTTAATAAACAGGAAAAAAGAAAGGTACAGGATTAACAAGGAAAGTGAAAAGGAATTGCATTTCTGTCAATCTATACTAGTTGAATGTTCTCAAGATGGATTAAATAATTATACTAGTTGTTGTGAAGATTCAGCATATGTTCTGTCTTAACATTTTTAATTCATTTCTTGAATACTATATATTTCTTATGTTATACAGGAGAACTTTGCAAATGTGCAACAAGACAACGAAAATTTGAAGATGCAAATTGAAAAGCTGAAAAGAAAACACAAGACAGAGATTAATACCATGAAGCAGTACATTACAGAGAGCAAATTACCTGAGTCTGCACTGCAACCACTGTATAAAGAGGATTCTGATGTGGCACACAATGCAGCCTCCTCCTATACATACGATGATCAGGCTTGGAGAGCAGAATTTGGAGCAATATATCAGGATCATTACTAACTTACCGGTTGTTAGTATTATTAGCATTAGATAAAAGGGAATCAGATCAAAGTTCAAGTATTTTGTCTGGCATAGATCCTACTTGGATCAAATGCCACTATTCTTTTTGTGTATTCCTAGAAATTCTTTGTTTTTGTTCCAATTTGTGATCATCCAAAACTACAATTCAATTGTATCTTCTCGTGTATTCATCTCGTTGATGTTCCTTACCCTAGATTTTTCATTGTAAACAAATCGCCTAATAGTTTTCTCATTTCAGTTCTCTTTTATTCCCAGACATTCTAAGTCTCCAAGTTGCCAAAGATTTTCACAAAACGAATGTAACTTACCTGATTTATTCATTCTATTTGTTGTAACACTACCATGAACATTGTTGGCTGTTTCATGAGAGTCAATGTCAGCAAAGTTTCCTAATCTTCTGAAAGTGAACCAAAAACTTTTTCATAGATGACAAGCCAGAGGAATAATTTGTATCTTATACATGATAACGATATATAACTTTTTTCAGTGCAAAATCTTCAACAGTGTCAAATGAATCAAAGTCTCTGTTGACTTGGGTTAGTTTCTTCTTGTATGATAATGTAAAACTACTTAAAATTGTTTTACACCAAGAAAGCATAGCCACTTTCTTTCTAAATTTCTTCCACACGATTAGATGGTATGACTTGAAGAGCAAATGCAGAACTCCATGGCACCATTAATCACAACTTCAGGCTCTTGAATCTCAAGTTCACAATTTCATGGCTCTTGAACTGTATTTAAAGCATGTCAAAATTTAACTGTAATATGTTTTTTGTGGTTTGTTGTGATGACCTTTTGTAGATGAAATCAAATTAAACTACAATTTATATATATAAACTACAATTTATATTCTAAGATTGATACATATTCTAAGATGTTTCCTTTCCTTAATTCTTATGTTTATCCCCATTTATCCTCAAGAAAGACAATGAAACCTAACCTACCCATTTCAATCTATTGCTTCTTGCACCCCATAATTACTAATTGTGCCCCTATAATAATAGGAAAAAGACTCAAAACCCTTCACCACACCACCACTGCCGTTGCTGTAGAGGAAGAAGAAGACGGGAAGAACAGTCTAGGGAAGAAGAAGATAAAAAAAAATGTGAAAAAAAACTTTCCAGAAAGGTTTTTTGTAGCCTATTTCATGTGTTCTAGAAAGCTTTTTCCCAAACGCATATCATGTAGAGAGGCTATGGACAACTCACTCCAATAGGGATTATATGCATTTCAAAAAATTTGCTATGAAAATTTCATTCAGAAAAACTTGTTTCTTCGTGTGTTCTAAAAATTTTATTCTGAAAATTTTTATCCAAAAAATTTATTTTAGAAATTTTGTTCTGGAAATTATGAAAAGTTTGTTCCAAAAAGCTTCTAAAACATGTAATCTAAAAGTCACTTGATTATTTTAAAAGTTGAGGGAGTGCGTGAAGAAAGTTGTTGGAATGCAGGTAAAAGTCCCCTTTCCCTCATTATAAATCTTAAAAAAAAAAAACTTCCAATAACAAACTACCCACGATTTCAGTTTAATACCAAGGACAAAGCCACAAAAAATTTCACTCGTTTTCTTTTTTATTTTTTTTTATTTTAAAACATTGAAATCAATTATTAGAAACACGATTCAGTTTATCTTCTTTAAAATATTTAAAAGGTAAAATGATGTTAGAAGCACCGGTTCTTTAAAATGAAATAGTATTTATAGAATGTCTAACAAAAATTTCTTTATGATTTTTCAAAACTTCTTTTATTGGACTGCTTTAAGACTCTTATTTTCTTAATAATTTAACATTTTTTTCTTATGTAAAAAACTATTTCTAGAGAATAAAAAGTTGTTTTTGTAAGAATAGCAAATGAAAAGTACTGGATTCATAAAATTACAATTTTTTTAAATTTTTAGAGTTTCTTTATAATAAAATTAAAATTGACTCTTAGTTGTTTATACTATATCTTTTTGTAAGGAGAAATATAAAAGAAAGTGTAAGAAAAGGAAGATGAAATCCCCATATGTATGTCTCGGAGAAAATATTAAAAACATTTAATACCTATTTTGGTGTTAGATTTGTTTAGAGTGATTTTACTTTTTTTTTTCTTAAAAGTTACGTACGTTTTTGTAAAAACGGTTTACGTTAATTTTAAACTAAGTTTTATTGTTTACGACCTATGAGGCAGTGGACTGATGAAATTTGATATTCACATATGTAAGATAATAATGAGCCAACTCAGACTACTTATTCTTGTGATAATATAGCTCCAATTACAAGAAAATATGAGCCACCTTAATCAAAAGGATCAAATAACTGAAAAAATAAACAACTATAAAATGCTTTAGTTATATACTTATATCTTCCCATAAAACAATAATCAAACAAAACAAAAACATCCCGCGCCTGAATATATGTACACACTGCATTGAATAGGTATAAAAGGAGAGATCTTTATGTTCATCATTCAATAGGTTATAATCACAGCATATATTCAATCTTAAATGAGTACATTAAATACTTTCTGGGAACTTCTCCCTTAATGATTGGCTTGCCAAAAACAAAAAATCTAGTGTATTTTTACCCATTAATACAGATTAACAGTGAAAAATCACTCAAATTTATTGTTATTGGGAACTCCTCTGATACCATAACACTAAAACAGTTGTATTCCAAAACACTTGAAATCAACCAAAATAAACATTAATTTTTACCCTTAAATTTCTCTGACAAAGAAATCATGTTAACCCGCACGTATATTCTTTTCTTCAAAACTAATCACATAATTAATTTGTCTATAATTACTATAATTTGCTCTCCGTTTCTTGTATTCTGAAAAGAATTGTCAATAATAGAGTTGGATTACAATGGACTGTGTAAATTTCTTGGAAGTGATTTCCAATTTACTAAATTTCTCATAACCAAAAATCAATAATTCAAAATGAAAGTAAACTTCAATATTTTCCAAAACTACTTACATTAGTAAAAAAAATGTTTCTTAACTCGTATATGTAAGGACCTAAAAATTTGAACTCAGGGTTATTGGGCCTTAATTGTGGCAGCCAGACCTTTAGCAATTTGGGCT